GTGTGGGGTTAGCCTATGCTTGCTATAGTATGAGCGTGAATCACCTCTGGTACGATTTAAACGGTAGAATGCCATTCCCTCAAGTCACCCCACCTTCCAGTGAAGAACGCTGTAAGAGTCTTCCCGAGGAAACGCCTGGACGTAAGCTGTGCATAGACACCGGTCGTTGCTTTCAGTAATGCATGCGGATCTGATGTGGAAAGACAAAATTGTTCGCAGGCGAGAAGTCAGACCATTATGTAAGGTCCTTGAAAGACTAAGATCACTGGGTAATGCTGCCTTTCGTGTAAGGTTGGTTTGCTCACATCCTTGTCTTGCTGTGTTGTTTCGGATGCTCCTTTCTTTGCTTTTCTGTCTTGCCTTTTTGGCCTTTTTGACTTGGCATTTGGTTGTTCGCCTAAGCTCATGACACACTGCTTGTGTGTCCAAACTTGCAGACTCAGAAGGCCAACGGGCCCCTCACACTCAGAAACAACCCAAGAAAAGCAAACCAAATGGGGAGCTTATTTTCTATCCAGAGAGCCATCTGCATGCCAATTTTGGAAATCGAAGACAGATGACGATTGCAAGAATTCTCAAAAATGCTCTGCCGCGCACTTTATCCCTGCAACATCCTGCAACTCTCTGCAACGTCATGGGTTTTCCGCCGGAATCTGCTTCTGAGAAATTCGGGCCTCCTCCGGGATGGGCTTCCCCAAGAAGCGGCAGATGGGCTCCCACCCTCACACAGACTCACATCTTGCGAGATCAGACCCTGAGTTGAGAAGCCTACTTGGAAACAAAACTGATCCTGCGGGCGATGCCACTAGCCGCAAGTTAGGCTAGCAGCGCATGGGGCACTTTGCTTCCACAATGGAAGAAACAGCATCACTGCTCTGGAGTGCGGAGCCACACCGGACGCACTTGCACAGCGCCCTCACATGGCCTTCCCAAATGTTGTAAATCAGCAGCGACTCTGGCGGGACGGCCTGATTCAATCACTGAGCGCAGGTCGATATATTCTGGCTGCGTGAAACGCCAACAGAACTCTCTCTCGACCTGTAGTTGTTCCAACTACTGTTTCATGGTACTATTATCTTATTACTATTACTAGTACTATTACTCTTATCTTATTACTAGTACTATTACTATTCAGCATCTTGCAGCATCTTGCAGTTGTGGCCTGTCTAAGCCGCTGCACGTGATCTTCGAAGCCGTCGAGGCCTCAGGGGTCCAACATGCAGCAGCTTTCAACGCTTCGTCTAAAGAGCACAAGTCCAAAGATATGCTACTTGTACCAGCTCCATCGCTAGAAATGGGTACATTAGGGTCCGAAGCTCACAACCCTTCCAGGTGCAGCTGAACAGCACGCTTGCTTCTCGTCCCCTGAGAGCGGCCATGGCGGGAACCTGCTGCTCGGTCACTGCGAGCTGCCATACGCTTCTGCGCTCAAGGACTTCCACAAGGCCAAGGAGCCGTGTCACTGCGCCGCAGCCTAGCCTTTGTGAGACAAGCCGCCAGTACCTGGCCGACTGACCTCTACAGGCTCCGCCTGGTGGAGTTTGAATTTGAGACAAAACATGGTCGCGTATTTCAACTCAAGATTGTTTGCAAAACTTTTGCGAAGCGCGACATGTCGTACCTCTGGCTTACAGAGCTGCTGTCATGACTCCCTTGGCCCTTCATCTCTTTCGCCAGCATACCAGCCAGTGAAAAAATGCTGTGGCATGATGGAGCCCACATCGAACTTTGAAATTCATCTTGGGTGCTTATCGGGCAGTCAGTAGTCAGCTGTAGCGCAAAACGGAAGCAAGCTTCTGCTAAACTACAGCTCCGGGAGCCGGGGCACTGCGCAAAGGGCTGGTAGAGAATTGTCAAGGGGAAGGGCTGCGTGATTGGAAAAGATGGGAACCTCAGATGCCATGGACTTGCTACAGGCGACCTGCCTGTGCACCAGCTGCTGTCACTAGCTGTCCTTTCTGTTGCTGCGCTCTTTGACCTCCGCTTGGCCGAGCTGCGGAGGGGGGGGCAGCAGGGCACCCCAGCGAAAATGCTCCCAGTAGCTGCGAAACCTTTGGTAGAGAAACTCTTCTGCAGCCATTGCTTGCCTAAACGTTCCAGGCTGCGCATAGCACGCAAGACGCATCTCACGGCCAGAATGCATCAAGCGGCCAGGACTCTTTCTCGCGGACGGTGACAATGACCTGGCATGGCATGAATTGAGGGACGTTCTGAAAGCCCCAGTAGAGAATAGTGGCTACAACAGCACTGGGGTCAATTCTTCAGTGGCAGTTCCCTTCCGCCCTTCGATGCCTTGGCATTGGGGTATCGTGAGTGAAGCTCGACCCCATACCTTACGAGCATGTCTGCAGGAACAGACAACAAGGCAGACGCAAGCACTTCCTGATACGACAAATGAAATCCAGTACATGTGCACATGGTGGTTTGCCATAATTAGGGGTACCCTTTTGGGGGATCCCCATATTAACGATTATAATATTTAGGGGCCTATATTGGGGTCCCCCTGTTTTGGGAAACTACCACATGCAAGCTTGAAGTGTAGCTGCTCCGACCAGGGGATGTCCACCAACGCCGTTACGTTGAACATCTCCAGCTGTTCCAGCGTAGGCACAAGAACCTATGAAGTCACAAGAACTCTGCTGCTTGGGCTTCCAAAGCTCGTTCATGCCACGTGACAGAACCTTCATGGAGGTATACACTTACTTGATCTTAATTCCCAAAGTAGCCACCTTGTAAACCATCTTAGTGCATGATTTCCTGAAACTCATTCGTAGAAATGTTGTTCTTCCTTCCATCACTTGGGCTTCGGGTCCACATTTACACTCGGAGAGCGCTACCAAAACCGCAGTGGGTGAGCGCAGCTCGTCCCGTCTCATGAGGGGTCGGAGAGGAGTGTTGGGGGCAAGGCCACCCTTCCTTCCCTGCTAACCACTAGAATCCAAACCTTAACTGGCTTTCTGGTAGGTTTAGGGTTTAGGACCTGTTGTCCTTTCCATTCCTTCATCCCTACTAACCAACCTACACCCTGAACCCTAAACAACATGATTGACGCCATTTTCTTGTTCATGCCATCATTCCCTACTCGCCACTGTATAGCCTGACTACCCCTGAGCTTCTGGGCATTACGCCTCAAAGCTCTGCTCTGCAAATGAACGTCGAGCGGCCTGCACAAGGTCTAAAGCAAGGTTGGGTGTGTAGGTTTGAGGATTGGAGCAAATGAGGTATCTTACTCCATATTGGGCGCTGTCGTAGTCAAATACTATTCGAATGGAGGTTGGATGAGGGAGGTAAGACCGGAAATGCAGCAATCCAGAAAGCAGAATCTCGCTCCCGACCCCAAACTGAATCACCCGTGAGTTCTGACAGCAGTCTGCTAATAAGAGGGTACTCACACGAGGATTGTCCTGCCGTCCCAGCGTGCTCCCCATCTTCTCCATACAAGTACAGTAACAGTAACAGGAAATCATAGTAATGGTAATAATACTAAAACTAGCACCTTGTTAAAAATAACAGAGGGGGAGAGGGGCTCTTCCTATGGCTCTTGTTCGAGTTCGGCTGCCTTGGTGATGCGGTCCACGATGTCAGGAGCTTCCCGTGCCAGCTGCAGCTTCGGATGAAAACCTGCTGCCGCAAAGCTGTTTAGCTTACTGGTTCTTAGCAGGGCACACAGGAATATATTATCTAGGGGTTGTAAAGGGTCATATTATCATATTCCCTACTAGAGGCCGTCTTCAACTCTGCGAGGGATCTGGGTCTGCTTATACAATAATCATGGTATACTGTCGTCATCACCACACTCACTGTTGCTGGGATTGCTATGTAATTTGTCTGGCAACAGCTTCTCAGACAACTGCAACGAGTCAAAATCTTGCAATAAACAAGGCAGCAGATAAACGTAAACAGGAGAACTTCCCTGGCACCTGGCCTTCTGCATGGAGGGTCTTGTAGCCCAGCCTTGCCAGTGCCAAGGACAGTGATTGCGTGGAAGTCCGGGAGACGCCAGCCGCAATGACCTGATCATACAAGCCGCTTGACTCAGACCTAGATGACCCAGCCCAAGTGGCTTTCTGCCTGCCGCCGCAGCCCCCGTGAATATGCTTCGAGCAGGTGCACAGGAAGCCCACAAATACAGAAATACATGCACAATGCAAAATGTCGACAGCAGGTTCTCAAAGGAAGTCCTCCACGTGAAAGCCAGCCCCCAAAGCAAACATCCGCCACCCAATGGCACATTGAGTTGCGACCCCGGCATACATGATTGCAGCAGGTTCTACCAATCCCATCATTGCATGCTGTCCTGTAGTCCTTTCCTCCGCACATGCTAATGAACAACTACGAGTTGTACATCAACATGCCGTGAGCACGTGAGCACTTTCTGAAACCCTATGGCAGCAGCTGCAGAACCTGCCTGAATGCCGTCCGCTGCTGCCGCGGCAAGCAGTGCTGTCACAAGAAGGAATGCAAGCTGCGCAGTCATCGCGAGCAGGCTAGCAACCTTCTGCTTAATGGCCAAACTGCTCAAACAGCTGCAGAAATCAGCCAGCTGTCTCTCACAAACTTACAAGTCCTCAAATGCAGCATGCAATAACCGCCAATGTGCGCAACACGCTTCAAGACAACGACCAGATGGCAGCTTCTTGGGTCTCACTGCTTTCCAGAACTCCTCCAAGAGCAGCCAATGTCAACGTTCTGGGCCACAAACAAAGGCTAGAAAACCTTATGAATGCTGACGTCAACCATGAAGTTGGTTGCACAGTCCTGAGAGGCGCAGTTGACAAGGAACTTGGCCTTGCTGGCTTTGAGATCCTGCACATGACATAGCAAGGTGCTGACACTCCCGACTTCAGGCCGAAGAGTCTGGATCAGAGTATCAATCTTCCAAACAGTGGATGCTCAACGTCAGTCAGATGAGAATTAGCTAGACTGGTCCAGAGGCCGCTGATTCTACCTAAACTAAGGCAGGATGAGCTGAATCCAATCATTGGGCTTGCACACACATCACGCAAAATGTATTTGTTTGATAGCTGGCGAAGATACAATCCTGTACAGAGCCGCACGTACAGTGGACAACTACACTTGAGCCATAGTCTAACCTCCTAGTATGCCCCTACTTACCCCTACACTACTCCCCTTTCTAATCCCCTATATAAGCCCCCTTTAAGGAGTTTAGACTACGGCTCACTTGCTTTGTGAGGTTCCTGAGTCCATGATCACACTCCATGTTTGGTCTTGCAAGCACGAGCGGTGCACCTTGGCCAGTGCTTCGGTAATGGCATCACCCCACAGGTCATACATTGTTTTGCCTGGCGCTTAGGGCTTAGGGATGCTTAGGGTTGAGGGTTGAGGGTTAAGCTGCTGCACTGAACATCTCCCAGATCTTGCCTTTCAGCTTGGAGGTCATCTCCAGGCGATACGGCCTTGGACACAGGCGATGAAGCGGAGCCTATGATTTCCATTCCCTCTGCCTCACGTGAACCTCTACATGCAGGCTCAGCAGCCCAAGTGAACTTGAGCAAGCTGCAAAGGCAGCCAGCAGATGCCACCTATCTCCCTGTGCACCTGAGCCCCACGCCTGATGGCATCGTAGGGCTTTAAGACCTGGCATGGATATTCAAGCAATGGCCAGCTGCAGAGAATCTGATGGACGTGGGCAGTCTTGGTAGGCCGATATTTTTTCAAGCAAGCAGGTCTTTCTGACTTAGACAAATTGAGATAACGTTTTGGCAGGCTCCACCCCGTAGAACGCGCACCTCGCTGCCAAGGGGTCTGATTCCGAAGAAACATTCTACAGCTTGCTTGTTTTAGTTCATCATGCACAGCTGGGCAACACTGCCTACCCTGCCGCAGTTTGACACCTCGTGCTGAGAGCATCGCAAGATCCGAACGCTTTTCTGCGCGTGCTGCTCATCTCCCTCATCAATTGCAAGGGCTCTCTTCTTCAGCGATAGCAGCCATCTGTCTAGGTCCCGGGTGCACTTTCCACCCGGGCAGCATGTCCAGCATATGATCATATGACATAAGAAGTCCGCCTTGGAGAAGGTCTTCGCAGCAAAGCCACGAAAGGCAGGGCCGTCGAAAGCCAGGCCTCACAGGGCTACAGGCTTGGCCGCTTGGCAGTACAGGGCCAACCCTGAGCAAAAACGTATGAATGCTTCCAGACACGTAGCTGTATTAGTTTCTTCAGCTGCGCTGTGCACTGCTTCCCATTCTCCAAGGATGAGGCAGGCAGCCTTGCTTGGCTGAGAGTTGAACTTGGCAAACCTCCCAGGAGCAAATCAACGCGATGCAAAAACGAGCTTGTCCCGTAGGTATAGTGGCAAACCGAACGCAAGCAGCAACCCTTCAGAGCCACTTCTTTGACTGTGCACCATCTCCATTAGATTGCTGAACGTGTGCCCGGGCTCTTTGTCCCGTACCTAAAGCTACAGAAGGAGTGTAAAAGGCTGCAACACCACAGACCGCACTCAATTGGGGTTACAGCTCGACCAAATGGGATCTCGTAGCTGTGGACGTTGCAGATCGACACTGGGTCCATTAGCAAACGGCCTAAGAAACCCAGACTTCCTGGGTCAACCAAGGCAAAACGATGCAACGGAGCCGCGCGGTGTCTGCGCGAATCACCAGGACCCCGGAGCGTGTGCCCGGGCCATCGCTGCACGTTCATCACCGGATCTTCAAGAACTCCCCCATGAACTCCGCAACTTCATCTCAAGTCCTGTCAAGATCTGCTCTAAAATGGGGTCATAACAGGGATAATGGACAAGAAAAAGGAAACCATCATATCATAATGGGATATATCTTGGGGTTATATACGGATTATATTGGGGCAATGGAAAAGAAAATGGAAGCCACTATCTGGTATACTGAGGTTACATAGGGATAGTGCATTCGTCGCAAGGTTTGGCTCCTTGTGGATCCCCACGGGTTGGCAACAGGCCTCACAAGTGGCAAAACGAAATTGGGAGTTTCCCAAAATAATGGGAACCTTTATGGGGGACCCCATAATAAGGATTATAGTATATTGGGGTCTATTTTGGGCTCCCCTGATTTTGGGAAACTACCAATTGATACCTGACCTCCGTGTCTGCCTGGGCCTTGGCCTGGCCCTTGGAAGACCGAAGTCCGCAGGTCTGGCCTTGGAGTGAGAAAGCTTACTCTTGAGTCTGGGCCTCCACCTGCAGCTGGGGACTCCATGTCGAAACTGCTGGTTTGTAACTGCTGCTTCATGCGTTGATTGTTCCTAGTACTCGAAGTAGCTTATTCTGTCCCCACCACCTTGACCACAGCCTTATCACGTGCTACTCACACAGCAGCTGGCCCCGGATGCTGGAGGGCTTTTTCGCAAGTCGATTGGCTCCTGCCACGTGCCAGCATCAAATTGTAAGGAGCTCTTCTTTACCACGTTGCTCTCGTCACCGGCGCAACAGTCCGATAAAGTTCTACTGAGGCAGAAAAGCTGCTCGTGAGAAGCCCAAGAATCAGAATCAAGCTACTATGAACCCTGCCAAAGCGCCTTCTAAGAGACTAATGATGGGCAAGCGTCTTGGAGGTTGGGGCTGAGCACGAGATCTCACTCATACTCCTACCTTGTTACGATCCCACTTTGAATCCTGACAAGAACACATCAATATCTACTCAGGCTTCCGGTAAAAATCCTTTCAGCTAAAGCAGCACGTGCCACCGGCAAGCCAAAGTGGTATCCGAACCTCAGACTGGAGTTCTGAAGAGCATCCATATGTTCAGTCCCACCCCATCTACCCCTGGATACCCTCAACCCTTACTGGGGGTTAGCAGGGAATAAGGGAATATATTATATGGGGATTATATAGAATATTCCCTACGAAAAAACAGTAAGTAAGCCCCAAGCCTAAACCCTAAAATCAAAAAGCCTAAACCGTAAACAAACGTAGCAGTCGCCTCGCTGCAGGCCCCCCTCAGTGGAGGACCAGCACCCTGTCGCAACATTGCGGCGAGCCACTGGCATCTGCTTACTGGTGGTTAGTAGGAAATGAAGGAAGATAATTGTCATATAATCCCTATAATTCTTCCCTAGATACCATATTGTCTTATTTCTTGCTAACCTACCAACCCCCCCGTAAGTCTGTCTGGGATTACAGGCTTCAGAGTCCATGCTTTCTGGCAACGCCCTGACTCAACTCTGCCGATTGCAGCAAATAATCTTCGTAATTGGCCTGATGCAGGAATATCTGTGAACACCAAGTATTGCCTACACAAAGAAGTTGGTCTGCCCGGTTGAGAAGCTTTTGAAGTGACCTGATGGTTGGTTTACGCGGAGCTGCACTGGAAGCTTTCATGGGTCATTTCAGGCCTCCCCTGGCTGCCGGAGCACCTGGCCCTCATCCTCCGACCATCGGCAGCCTGTAGGGCCCGCTGCAAATGCTGTGGTGTCTAGCACCTCAAGCTGGGGCTGGCCTCAACACGTGATGCTTTGGGTGAGGTGCTTCGCAGTCATAAACTATGATATGATTTTGCCGGAACAAGCAGGGATCTGCACCTTTTATCCTACCATCCTGTCCGCAAAACCAATTCGTCTCGGGTCAAGATCAAACCCTGCCATGGGCCCTGCTGCAGCGTGTGGTCTCCGGAGCGCAGCCAAAAGTGCCCAGCACACCTCACTAGGCACCGCCATTCACGGACCGTATCGATCTTGACCCTAATATTGGGATAATGGAAAATAAATGGAAACTACTATACCATATTGGGGTTATATAGGGGGAATGGAAAAGAAAATGCAAGCTCCACTTCAGAAACTTTCATCCCAGGTCCCAGCTCCACAGCAGCTTGTCGTCTTCTGCACCTCTCCACGCTCGTCAGGGCTTCACTGCCGAAGCTCTCAGCTACGGTTACCAAAAAAAATATCTTGTCAACAGCAGGGCACGCTTCCAGCTGCTCACAGCGCATTGTTCTAGATCCCACAAATCCAGCCTGAAATTTCAGGAGGTGATGTGGGAGAACTTGGGATCCTGGCAAATCGAATTCTTTCACGCAAGAGGATAGGCTGCTAGCATTTGACACTGACAGTATGCAAAAGGCCTCGCTGAAGTAGGCGGGGCTACCTGCTGTCAGGCTTCTGACTTCTTCTTGTTAGCAGTAGGTCAGTCTTTTGTATGTTGAAAGTTTCACGTGCCTGTCAGCCATTTCAAGAACACCACAGATTCTGTTTGAATTGCACCATATTAGACCACATACCGCCATGCGCTTGAAATTACAATACCATTGTACGGTCTCGCAGTCTCGCCCAAAAACCCAAATCAAAGCACAGACTTCAAAGGATCCACAGCATAACCAGTCTCAAATCCAGGAGATCATGCTGCACACAAAGACCCTTCAATCCAAGTCAAACTAAGAAGGAGCACCTGCCATTGCATTTTTGCATGATGGCTCCATCCAGTCATGCCTGCTGCCTGCAGTGTATCCTGGAACTATTCGCGCAGTGTTCCTTCTGCATCCCTCTCATACCCATCACTACCCTGATGCTACTGCAACGACAACGGCGACGTAGAATAGCAGGAGTCACACGCCATTACTATAGCAACTGCACGGCTCCAACTGCGCTGGTGAACCTCGTCCCGTATCCGGGGCTGGGCGCCATTGGCACCTCGGTCGGTGCTCTCAAAAAGAACGGAAAAACCTGTTGAGGGAATTCTACTGGGTCTATGGAATTGGATACGGGCATTTATGAGGTAAGGAAAGTTCTCAAGACTGTGGATCTCATACCAGTGACCTTACAGCAAGGATCCTGCATTGGTTGGTTGAAGCAGCAATCACAATTTCTGGAATTGAGTTTCACTCGGGGTCAAGAAATGGAGTCCCACTTTTGTCTGCTTGCAAGGTTACAACCCTGAAGGACAGCAAGAAGACCTTAAAGCCTTAAAGCCACAATCACACGTGCTCACCTTCCATCACGCTTCTGCCGTGCTTGCTTCATGCAGCCTCTTATCCCGTGGGCAGGAATTTATTGAGACGGTAATAGCTCCCGGACATTGTGTGCACAGGAGCCTCACAGTACAACCCCAGAAAATTCGAAATTGCTTCGAGGATCATTACAAAATGACTGGCAGGACTACAATGCGCACATTGCTGGTCTGTCGGGCCCTGGCGCTTGCCAAGTGGTGGTTCCCCGGGAAGTTCCGGATCCTGCTCACAAAGTGCAAAGGACTCGCGAATTGCAAAACCCAACTTTTGAAAGGAAACTCATACGGACTGTTCTGCTCCATCAGTTTCCGGGCTGGCTCTGCCTTGCACGCGGCGCTATCCAACTTGAGTTGACGCGCGAGCTGGATCTACAAGCTGAGATCTCAGATTCACGTGCGATGTCGGAAGCTCCACAGCTTCCACAGCCTGCGAGCCGTGCTCTTCAACTTCAGATCTCAGGCAAGCCATCACAGAGGCGGTCCCACTGAAAATCACCAGCGCGGCCGCAAACAGCGCTGTGCCCAGCTTGGGCTTACCCTCGTCCCAGTCATCAGGGAAGCAGAAGGACCACGACTTCTTCAACACGGACACGATTGCCGAAAGGCATGCTCGCAGCACAAAGGATGGACCTGCACGGGTGCGTCCGATGAACCAGCCTGTCGGAACTGCCTGTACCGTGTATGTGTAGCGAAGAAGCAAGTCAGTACAGTCCGCAACTTCGTTCGCTCCACCCGCTCCCTCCAGGTTCGATAGAAGCCTGATGCCAGCTGAACCTAGCTGATCACATCGACGACCAAGCCATGCCATTGTAATGAAGGCTACTAGCGTTGGGGACATAATTCCAAGAAATACGCCTGTTGTGACTAGCCCGGCATTCGGACGATTTTCAATGGGATCTAGCAGGAACTCCAACAACAGGATTCCGATCGACTGTATGACGCCACCAGCCAACAGCAGACCCGGGCCGTTGCCTGCAACGGAGGAGAGGGACCGCAAGCGGCCGTGCAGCTGCATGTACTTGGTGCTTAGCTCCCGGACTTTGCTCGCAGAAAGAGGTGATGCAGCCATACTCTCCATGAAATCTTCGAATTGCCGGACATCACGGGCTCCAATCTCAAGGAGTGCCAAAAGGGGCCATGGTGCAAGCCCAACCTGTAGCTGCAACCAGAAGTTCAGCCAAATCAGTGGGAGGCAGGCCAACACGATAGCCACCCCAGCCGAAGCTCCAAGGGCCCCAAGGTCAGCAACAACCACCAGATTTGTCTCGACGAGCACTGAGACTGCGAAAAGAAAAAACGGCCGATGTGTTCAGCAGGTGAAGGGTCTCTAAGCAGACCCAGATCAGGACGGCACTCAAATGGACCCTGCTTCGAACGGCTGTATCTTTCTCCAGCTGGTTTTGTTGCAGCTTCTCCTGGTATCTTTCAGATGTTTCCAAACTCCAGAGCTTGCAACTTCCAATGTACTGAAGCAATGACCCCGCCATCAGCATGAACCCAACACTGGAGTCAAGCACTGAGCGTGCTGGGTGCTCCCTGGCGTAGTAGACAACACGACGGGTAAAGAACACCAGCACAGTCCCCAAGAATGGCACAGGCATGTATAGCCGACAGCAATGCCACCATTGCCCGAGAGGCCGGAAGGACCACAGGCAGTGCAAGCAGCGAGATACCATGTGAACTACTTGAAGGCCCCTCTGTTGTGAGCAAAACACGGCATCTCGGCAAGAGAGAAACAATCATCAATCCATCTGAGTTGCTGCAAGCCCTTAATCAATCAGAGAAGTTAGCCCTCTATGAGGCATGCTACTTTCTTTCCAGTGTGCTAACTATCCAGAAAATCCGCCCTTCAAGCACCACAGAGTGACTGGTGCAGTACCTACACAAGGATATAGGCACCATCATCAACTACCAGGGAGGAGTGAATGGGTCCCTCGGCTTCGCGGCAGAAGCAATCCCAGGTCGCTGGGGGCTTTGTACGGCCTCAGCCACACTTCAGGGATCTTGCAAGGAATCGGGCAGACCTTGCTCAGGGAAATGCACGAATGGAAAGAACACCCAGGACGAGGTCCAGCTACCAGCTACTTGTATCCAAGTGCTCACTGCTACTCTACTTGAACAGAAAGGAAATTATCGTTCTCAACACAAACCTGTCTGCATGAAAGACTCCCTGTTTTCCGGAGAGGCTGGCAGGTATTCAAGTTGGGTGCCAGAGCAAAAGTGCCCCAACAGCCCAGAAGGCAAAACCCATCACGGGTTAAGAGCCCTACCCAGGCCGTAGCCTCATCACTCCCGTAGGAGGCGCCTCCCACTGGCTTCAAGCACACTATCCAAACAGCACCAAACGTCCATTCCCAACTTGTCCATTACAAGTCAACCTTGCGACGCGACTCGCCAAGAAGCTAGGCAGCGTTGAAGGGTGGAGACGTGGGCGGGTAGCTGAAGCTGGATAAGCGTAGCTCGGGCATCATCCACGTACATACGTGCAGTGAGTTGGTCTTTCCAGCGCCCCTGGACCATGGTCCGACCCAATAATTGGGTTTGCTGGTAGAAGTGGGTCGCCCCACCACGGCGCAGGCAGTAAGGGAGGTAGTCCACTGGGTCCAATCCGATGGAGCGCACCAGTGCTGCAAAAGAAGTCCGGAATGACGCCATTGTGCCTGTGAAAATTTTGCCACGAGGATGCAGACGAGACCATAGGTATGCTAGCAGCTAGCACATTGACCAGCTCCGGCTCATGCAAAGAGAGGGATTGTTGCAGGCCTCTGGAAGTTTTAGAATTAATGATTGCGACCACCACGGTTCCCTCATGAGGAAAGAATCGAACGTGATGGAAATGAAGTGAAACAAGTTCCATTGTACGCAAAAAGAAGGCAAGCCCCAGCAGCACCATAACTGCAAGATCCAGCCGATGGACTCGAAAGGCTGCCGCCGCCATAGCTTTGGCACCCAGCCACGACAACGGAGTGGTGCGTTTCGGGAGATGTACCCTGCACCAGTTCCTGTAGAAGAGCTGAGCAGTTGTAAGATGAAGGCGGCACGTCGGAAAGAAGCGCCGCAGCCCACTAATTGTCCAACCGCCCAGGGAGACGTGATCTCCTTCCTGAAACAAATGTTAATGTACTCGGCCAACTCCTCATCCAGCTCCACCAGATTTCGAGGTAGCCTGCCCCGTAGGGCGCGTGCATAAACAAAGAAAGCCGCCACGGATTTTTCATAACATCGCCTTGTTTTTGCCGTTACCGCCAAAAACTTCAGGTGGTCACTTCTGTTCGTATTTTCGCGACGCATCATCATAGAAATTCCACTTGGAGATGGTCCACAAGGAGATGGGGAGCACGGCTGCTGCGATGTTGACGGCGGTAACTCGGCGGCAAAGTCGGTTCAGGCGACCCGAAGAGGATCGGCCTTTAAAAAGAACGTAGAAAGAGACGAGGGAGTCCAGGATGTTGAAAAAGCGCTTGCCGTGCTCGGAGGGATCTCCTGTTCTCCTTCGCAGCTCAGCGAGGAAGGCGGTGACTTCCAAAATGTTGATGCGCTGCTCTTGCTTCCAGTGGTAGCTGAGCACATCCCTCCAGAGCCAGCGGAAGGCGGGGTGTGGGCATGGCCGATTGGCTTCCAACTCCACCGTGGTGGGTCAGGCGAACACTTGCGCCAATGTGGTGAGCGTGTCGCAGGAGAACTCGAAGGTGCTCTGGTTCCTGGCCTTGATCCATTGAGTCCAGCAGCTCGACCACCTGCTTGACTGCTAAGCGTGCGGCGCCCTCATGCTGGAGACCACGGGTTGCCCCCTTCAACTCATGGTAGATGAGGGAGCCCAAGGTGAGCGCGCGGACACCGCACGGCTCTGGGAACCTTCTTGAGAACTCATCGGCAACCGCTTCAGCGAAAACCACGCACATATCCCACGGATACTCGGCTTCGCTTTCGGTATCGAAGCTGAAGTTGCCGCACCAGTCTTCATGGATCTCATACGGTTCAAGCCAGGTGTGACCAGGGCACTCAGGCTTGTGCATCAAGTGGCGCAAGGAAGCCGATTTGTGCACCAGCCCTCTTGCGCCTTCTCCCGCCGAAACAGCAGTTCGAGAAACAGGCCCAAAACCAGCTATCGTAGAGAGCCTTGGCCTCGGGCAAGTACCACATGTGGGAACCATACGGGTGCTCAAGCGACCCGAAGCAGCCATTGGCATCGGCATCAAGAAGTCCACGAATTGAGCGCTTGGCCATGGCATTTCCTTGTCAGACTTTTATTTGGGCCCCCCGGTTCAAGTTCGGACGCTGACGGCTTCAGCGGGAGGACCATTGACTCACTCCCCACGAGAGTTCTGGAAGGGCCGTCCTCGTGCCAGGCTGAACCGACCGACTTCTCATAGGAGTGGCGCAGGATGCGGCGATCGCCAATCGCTCCTCCTTGTGGAGGGTTCCCTTCAGGGATCCGCTGAGTTGCAACCAAGGTTTCCAGTCGCAGGCATCAATGAACTTCTCGTGGTTCGGGGAAGTGACTCCCTCTGATGCCTCGGCGATCTCCCGCTTGAGGCGCCGGATCTCGTCAAAGTTGTCCAGGAGAGGATGGTGTGGCTGCCTTCGTCAGGGAGCGGGGCATCCTTCCTCACATCACCCCGGCTCGGCACGTTCGCGACGCTGTAAGCGATGTGCCTGACGGCAGCCTGGGTGAGGGTGACAGCCGACGTCCACCCCATGGGCCGGTCGCAGCATCTCGCTGCTGGATCCCCAAAGCATCTCCTCTGACTTCTTGCGTGAACGCAAAAAACGGATGCCAAACCTTCAGCATTCTGAACGGGCGACTGCAGGTCCTCCGAGTCGAGGACCAGGTAGGAGTCGGGGTCCGCCACCACCGCCGTGAGCTGACCAATGTAGGGGAGCGAGTCCTGCGCCCCAGGAAGGATGCGGAGGGCATCGTTCATCGGACACAGGATCGAGATGAAGCTCTGCCCAACATCTTCTCGGCCACCAACGACCTTGACCTTAGGAACTGCCCCCGCCCCATTGGTGATTGCAAATCTTCTCTTGTCGGTGGGGACATCCTTGTCGTCGACCGAGGTGAAAAGCCCTCTCTCAAATCCAGCCTTGACCAGCTTGAACCACTCGTGCTCAGATGCCCACACCTTGGATCCCCTACGCCGATCAGGCAAGTCGACTTTCGGGATCAGGAAAGAACGCGGGCTGTTCAGCTCGGCTGCCAAGTCATCAGGAAGACAGGCCTGAAGGTCAACGACCGCGGCATTGCCGGGCTGAGGCCAAGCTTTGAGAACCTTCTCGGTGACAAGGTCCTCCATGCGCTCAATGACCTCCCCACAGTAGTCGAACTTCCTCGACTTGAGCTTTGCACTCGCGGTTGAGCATGTCGACATTCGGTCTTCCTGGGCAATGAAGCTATCTACCGGATCAGCCATCCTTTTGATAACACTTTGCTGCGCCTCAGTAAGGGTCGAGGAGCTTGGCAGGCAGACTGGGTTCCTCCAGCCCACGCAGTATAGGTAGTCCAAGGAGAGGACGGAAGCCCGGAGCCAGTCCACATTCTGGTAGGTCACGCCAGGCAAGCCGGGCTGAATCAGAGCTGGGTGAATGGGCAGTTTATCGCTGAGGCCGCACCGCCAAACTGTTGAGGTGGGCTCGGCGCCCGGAGGCAGCCTCTCCGGATGGCAGTGGTCACGGCAAAAGATGCCAAGGGCTGATGCGAGGCCGCAGCTTGCCATAGGAGCTTGCCTGTGGCTCTGACTGGGGGGCGCTTGCCCAACGCGTTCCTCAACTTGGCCCTCCAAGCTGTCCAGGCCAAACCGTCGGAAGCTTTTGCCTTCCTTGTAGGAAGCAACGGGGGCTTTCTCTTTCCCTTTCTTGCCACCTTTCTTCCCGCCCGCTTTGGGGTTCTCCTTCTCTCCCTTCTGGTCGTCTTTCCCGCCTCCTCTTCAGCTCGCCCGACAGCTCTTTCGACGCCATCACCTGCTCGTCTCGCTCGGCTAAGGTCGCGCCCTCGCAGTCCAGGAGCTCCATGTACTGGGCCCGACCCCAGCCCTGGTCGGTCATCGACAGCTCGAGGGCCTTGATCTGCTGGCGATGGCGCCCGCGGCCGAGGTGCGGTGACCTGCTGCGATTTGGTCGAGAGCGAGAGCCCGTCAGCCTGATGGTCAGCTGGCTTCGGTGCGCTGGAGCGAGCACGGTGAGTCATTGCCTGGTAAAGTTGAAGAGACGCCCCTCCCTCCCTGGCCACCAAGCTCTGCATCCGCTGCAGAGGCCGAGCGGCAAGTCTCCCCGGTTTCTTCTGGGACTACTCCTTCAGCTGAAGCTGTAGGCTCATGCCGCCCTGGGAGGAAGGGTCGCGAAAACCCGACTCAGCTCGAGGAGATCTGCCCACCATAGGCCACTTTGGCCCCGACACCAAACGGACCTCGATCTGTCTTGGGATCCTTCTTTTTCTTCTTCTTTTTCTTCTTCTTTTTCTTTTTCTGGGACGTATCCCTCCTCTCCTCCTTGGAGGGATTTGTTGTCTCCGAACTCTCGGACGTGTCCGGTGGAGTGTCTTCATCTCTTGCTCCGAACCACGTTGGGTTGCCACTACCTGGGCTCCTTTTGGGGTCATGACCCTCTTCTTTTTCTTCTTTTTCTTTTCCTTCTTGGGTGTCATGACACCTCCTTCCTCAGCCATAGCTGGTTTCTCTGCTGCAGTCTTCCGCTTCCGGCCCGTGCCCCTCAGCCAGTTCTTTCTCCAAAGCTGAGAGGTTTTTGTGAACATCATCTTCTGCTCCTGGATCTCCAAGGCCTGCACCGGCATCAGCAAAAGCTAAGCCAGGCCGACTGGGTCCCGCTTCTGGGCGCCCTTCTCCTTGGTGATCTCCTGAAAGACGGGCATCTCATCCTTCACGTATTTGTGATGTGGTCCTCGGGTCACCCACTCTAGCTTCTTGTCCGCCAAGTCTCCCAGGGTCACGGTGCGGAACTTGTCCGTGTGGAAGTCTCTGGCTCGGCCACGGCGGGACTCTCGGCACTGCCTCTGACAGACAGCACAGAAATGGAGTTTAAACTCCCAGTTGTCATCCTTCCCGGCCCGCGAGTCGAGCCACCACACCAGACGCTCATCGGACGCTGCAAGGAAGGTGACCTCTGTCCACTGCCCAGTGCGGGTACGGCGGCCCACCTTGTCTAGCCTTGCCAGCACTGTGCTCTGCTTGAGTCATAGGGGACAAACTCCACGTAGTTCCCCGACGGGTCTGTGCCATTCCACATCGGGGTCCCCAGTAGGGGAAAGCCATGCCCCAGGCATCCCTTGCTGGGTGACTGGGGCAACTAGGCTGGCCCTTAAGCCTAAATGCCAAAGCATAGACAGGGTTGAGAAAAGTGCATGACTGGCGTTCCGCACAAGTGCTGCACTGGTCAAAAGTGTATTGGAGCTCTGTGTCTCAAAATACCTACTTGCTTGACTGCCTTTGTACCTGAAGGCCTGCCAGGCCTCAGGTTTTGGCATGTTTTCGTGTTTTTCAACTGGTGGGGTGCTGACGAAGGCAAAAGATCCTGGTATGCGGGATCAATACGGACAAAGCCATCTGTGGCCTTTGTCTCAATGTACTGACCCGCTGCCAGAGATGCTCACCCAAGTTCGCAAGGGTCTGAAGCATCAAAGGGGCCTGAGCCGCAAAATTGCAATGACCACATCAAGTTCTTGTGCCTGCGGGTCTCAGCTTGTAAAAGAGATGCAGGAGCGGCCGTTGAACATATTGCTGAAGCGACCGTGAAAACCTCACTTTGAGTTTGCTACATAAGTCATATGGGGTTCTTTGCTTCAGCATGTGTTCAGAGGGATGGGATGCATGATGTTATCTATTGCAAGGCTTTGCCTGTGAAGCGTTTGGGCGTTTCTTGCAGGACCACTGCACAGGGCTTCGAAAGCCCCATGCGCGGGATAGTATCGTAGCTACTCCTGGGCATTGGACAAAGCAGACTGTGCTGCAAGCTTCGCCCAAAACCTACCACGTTTGAAAACGGACGAGGTGGAGCTCCGCACGAACGGTCAGCTGCAGATTGTGGGAGCTCCCCAGGCAGTTTAACAAAAATATGTATCATGCACCTGGGGGATTCGCACAGAAAGTCAAGGTAGCGGAGCAGTTGCAGGCTCTGTATCTGTTCGTTGTTTATCTGACGCCTTGCACCTTTGATAAGCTTTCTGTGCGTCCCCATTCAAGAGCACGCACGTCCTGTGCTGAGAGCAGATGACGAGAGCCCTTCGTGTAAAAGCTACAGAATTCATCTACAATCGATTCACTTGCAGGATACAGTAATATGTTTTGCGCAGTAACAGGCTCGTGCCACCAATTTTGATACAAGTTCTTTGCCAAGTCAAAGGCTCAGCCATCAACCGATTGTTCAGACATGCGTCTAGCTTGGACCTTGTGGCGAGTGTCGGATCTCAAGACAGCAGGGCCATTCCGAGAGAGCTTTCATCCTCACAGGAAAACCAGCTCCGTGTGAGAATGCCCCTTGCAACTCGAGTTCTCTCCATGCCACTGCTCTTTCTGACCATGGCTGTGAGTCATGCTGACACGTCTCACCTAGATAAGTG